ACAAACTGATCATGTTTTTACTATGACTTCATATATGTGCATTTGCTTTTGTTTGGATAGATAGTGAATCTTGGAGATATAAACGTATGCCAGCAAAGTTCGTGCATTTGCAATTTAGGTTCTGATCATTTTTGAGTTGATTCATGGAGATCTGTAGAATTGAGTCGTTCAAATTTTTGATTCTCTCAGCATATTGTTGTACGCAGTGTTGTGGGTAATGCATTACAAGTAACGCGAGTTACGTAATCAGATTTCTTTTTTCAAGTAACTAGTAAAGTAATGCATTACTTTTTAATTTACAAGAGAATATCTGAGTTACTTCTTTAAATAAGTAACGCAAGTTACTTTTTTTTCCCAATTTATTGATTGACAGCTCTCCTGTCGCCATGTCGAGAGAAATCAGAAGATGCTACTGTATGCAACAGAAGATGCAACTCAGAATATGACGCAAACCTGCAATAATTAAATGTTAAACATCACAAATATGCTTTATGTATTTAATCCCATTCTATTAACCAATGTCTTTGCTTCTGACCTTCGATGATCCAGTTCAAGCGTACTAATAAGCACAAATTACTCTAGACGAACATTTGTGTGTCTTTGTTTATTGCTGAAGTGTGTTGAAATTTCTTCTGTACTTTCCCTTCAGCCTGAGGCTTATTCATTTCACTTTTGGTGTGAAAAGGCTTTTATATTTGCCAAAAATATAACTTTTTTATTTTAAAAACAAACAAGCAAGCCCTGTCCAGATTTAAACAGTAACGTAATGCGTTACGTTCCATAAAAAGTAACTAAGTAATGTAATTAGTTACTTTTTTTATGGAGTAACGCAATATTGTAATGCATTACTTTTAAAAGTTGCTTTCCCCAACACTGGTTGTACGTTTATTTACTTTATGTAATCCAGTTCAAACAGTAAAGCACACAGGCAGCAACGCCAAAGTCATGGGTTTGAATCCTAGAGTAGGCAAGAGCTGATAACATGTAAACGTGTGCTTTGAATGCAATGCAAGTTGCATTGGATAGAAGTGGCTGCCATATGCATAAATGTAAATTTATATATGCATACCTACAAATATGACTAAGATCCTGGTGTTTTTGAAAGTGCATGTGAAAGTATTCAGATTCAAAGATTAAGATGTGCACAAGCGCTTGCATTTGGAATGAAATATCAGTATTGGTCAATTTGAGGTGTTTGCATGAAGGCTTTTCATTCACTCTTAAAAATAAAGGTTCTTCATTCACATCTGTAGTTCCACGAACCTCTTTTATTATCCAAGAAACCTTTTCATTCCACAAAAGGTTCCACAAAAATGGTGGGAAAAGGTTCTTCAGATTGTTGAAATGTTCTTTGCACTAAAAAAATGGAAAGATTCTTCGGGGAACCAAAAACGGTTCTTCTTAATAATAAAGGTTCTTCATTGTTCCCACGAGGAACCTTTAATATCTATGAAATGCTTCCATGGTTCTTTATAGTGGAAAAACATTCTTTAGATTATTAAATGTTCTTCACACGACTACATGTTTTTGCAGTGATGCCATAGAAGAAGCATTTTTGGTTCCCCAAAGAACCTTTCAATGATCTGTTCCTAAAAGCATGAAATTTATAGTGGAAAAACATTCTTTAGATTATTAAATGTTCTTCACACTACTACATGTTTTTGCAGTGATGCCATAGAAGAAGCATTTTTGGTTCAACATTTTAATAATCTAAAAAACCTTTTCCACTATAAAGAACCTTTTATGCAAGGGAAAGGTTCCATTGATGTTAAAAGTTCCTCGTGGAACCGTAGATCCCAATAAAGAGCCTTTATTTTTAAGAAAAAATGGTTCTTTTAAAAACTGAAAGATTCTTTGGGGAACCAAAAATGGTTCTTCTACACTCAGTCTCTTAATAATGAAGGTTCTTCGTTGGCATTGATGGTTGGTTCCATGAGGAACATCTATGGAACGTTTACATCGGACAAGAGGTTCTTTAAAGTGAAAAAACATTCTTTAGATTATTAAAATGTTTTTCACACTTACACTCGTCAAAATAAAGGTTCACAGTGATGCCGTAGAAGAAGCATTTTTGGTTCCCCAAAGAACCTTTCAGTCATCAGTTTCTAAAAGAACCAATTTTTTGGTTCCACTATAAAGAGCCTTTTATGCAAGGGAAAGTTTCCATTGATGTTAAAGGTTCCTCAACCATGGATGCCAAGAAAAAGCCTTTATTTTTAAGAAGATAAAAGTGGTTCTTTCAAGAACTGTTCAGTGAAAGGTTCTTCGGAGAACCAAAAATAGTTACGCTGCAAAAAGCCCCTTTATGACTGACTCTTCACTTTAAAAAAGGCAAAGCTTCCTCAGATCGCCCTTTGGAGAACATCTAGGCGTGCTTCTGAGGGTGCCTCGAATGTCTTATAATTGGCAGAAGGAACTTTAATATATCAGCTCCATTATGGGATCCATTTTGTAAGTTCCTGCCATTTTTTGCAAGGTTCACTTTGAGTGAATCTGAGGAAGCCCAAATGATGCATCGAGTATATTTTCCTCTTTGCATGCAAATGCAGCGCGAGAGAGCCGGAGGAGGTGGGGATGCGCGAGGGTGAGAGAAAGTAAAAGCATTTCCTCGTCAGCACAGCTTTACCTTCTCATTGTCGTCTAGGCTTTGTGCTTTTGCTCGCTATCTGCGCGTCGCTATCCGGCGATGCAACACAAATGCTGCGCGCGCAGCATCATTAGCTCGCATATAGATGTCAAAACGCCGCTCTTCTTACCTTGCCGTTGTGTGGTGAGGACTTTAGGAGCCTCTCCTGCTGGGAAGAGGCTTTGTGGTGCTGTATGAGCTCAGTCAGCCTCCCACTGCAGGATGCCGCGATGCATTTCTGCCATCTCAGAGAGATGATGCTCCAAGCCGCGCATCTGCTCTCCCAGCATCCCTTGCTACCGGTGCCGTGATGATGCCATGGAGAAAACAAGGTACAATCCGCATCTAGAGGAAACGAGAACAGCCTGCCTCCTCCTCTCTCTCTCTCCTCCAGTGTGTGTGTGTGTGTGTGTGTGTGTGTGTGTGTGGCAGCGTTACCTAGGAGACGGTTCACGCCCCCTCTGTCGCCGTGGTGAGCGCGTGATTTGAGACGGCAGGTATCTTCAGATGAGAGGAGGTGTCAGCTCATGAATAATTAATGAGATGATTGAGGGTCACGACAGGCCAGAAGCTGAATCATCACATATTTACCACGGTAAACATAGTTTCCAATAGAAATGCCAGAAATTGCGCTAATTTATTCATCACAATTAAAAAAATAGTATATATATTTGAGTGATTTAGGATGAATCAATTAACCTACATTAGGTTTTAACAGTATTTTAAGTCATTTTAATGAGTCAAACCCGCTCTGTTCTTACTTTTACTTTGTTTTAACTTAACAACTGCACGTAAGTCTGCCGTCACTAATAAATGAACGTTTTATCGACGTGTCAGAATCAGCTCATGAATAATTAATGAGATTATAATGAGGGTCATCACAGGCTGGTGATGCTATGAAATAACAGATGGCAGAGGATGAATCATCAAATATTTACCAGGTAAACATAATAGTTCAATAATCATAATTTAAAATAACAATAATTATTTAAATGTGATTTAAAATCAACCTAAATACCTAATTTTGCCAGCATTTGAATGATTCAGATCAGGTACAAATGACTCTGTTTTGAATTCTGCTTTGTTTTATTGTAACAACTGCGTGCTTTGACTTTATTTGCTGGAGAGTGTGTTTAATAGTTTTCAGTATTCTTATATTATTTAGTATTGTATATTATTTGATGTCAAGTATCAAAAGGTTTCAGATATTGAAAATATTTTTATACACTATTTATAGAATATTTAATAAACTTTTATTTCAAAATCATGTTTTTTAATTACTACTGTAATACAATAAAGTTAAGTGAATTAGTAAAGAAGGTCAGGGCATTAATTACAGGTTTATTAGACACAGTGGTCTTCCTCAGTCTGTTCCTACAGATGGACAAGCCTCTGTGGTACTATTTAAACCACATCAAGAGAAATAAGAAATAAGGCATTAGAAAGTCCTCAGCAGCTTTTAGAAGCTCAGCATCACGCTTCAGCGCCGCCTGCTGATGCCACAGTGAATGAGATGTTTAGAGCTTTGTTTAGACTGGTTTCAAGCAGCTCAGATCAGCAGAGAGCCGTCATATTTTATTTCATTCATAGCCAAGGCAGCATTTCTTATTTGGTTTCATTTAGGCACTAAAATACCCAAAACAGAAATAAAAATGAATATAAACGATATAGACGACAGATTAAAAACAACTAAAATTTAGAATTAAAATGCGAACAGAAAATACCAAAATAAAAATTAAAAAGTGATAAAAAAATATATATATATTTTCATTTATATATAATGCATTTTATAATACTAAAATAACGAAGGAGTTTCCAAAACTAAAACCATTAAAAACATTTTTTTTTAATTTACTTAAAATAAACGGCGACTGAAATAAAATATTTAGAAAAAGCTAGTTGCCAAAGGCAAAATTTGAGTTTAACTTCAATAACTACAACTGAAATAAAAACAAATAAAAATAGACATAGCTAAAAATGACAAAACAACAAAATTACTAAACTTGTGTAAACACAAAAAATAAAAACAAACTCAAAATGATTAAAAAAAACTTTACTAAATATTTAGAAAAAGCTAGTTGCCAAGGCAGCATTTCTCAATTTAATGTAAAGTACTTAACTAAAACTGAAATAAAAATGTATTGAATTGCATATTAAACTTAAGTGTGTAACTCACCCTGCAGTGTTTGTGCAATAAAAGACCATTATATTCCACATTACCCTGTTTCAGTTACAAATGACACTGAAGTCCATGCAAATAAACTACTTTAGAATCTTCTTCCAAGCAAACTCTGCTGATAGTGTGTGTGTGTGAGAGAATGTTGATCTGTCAGATAACAGCCTCCGTTCTCCTTCAAACGCCTCCAGACACAAAACAGGTCCGGTAACTGGTTAAAGGAGTAACATTAGCATGCTTCCCAGCACTCGTACCTTCACGTTGGTCCACTTCTCAGGCTTCTGTTCGTTCTCTTTGGCTCTGGCAGCAGGTGGCGCGGTCCAGATCTCAAGTTTGGGCTCCTGCAGCTCGGTTTCAGGAGCTTTATTCTCATCAAAAATCATTAGCCGGCTGTTCTGTTTGGGGCCCAGCGGCTGCTTAAACTGGAGCCCACGAGCATCTGTGGAACAATACAACAGCGTGATCACAACAGATTCCTGAATTACTGCTTAACACACAGAAAAAACTAAAGTTTCTACTCACATCCGACCGATGCGTTCACTCTGTTGATGGGAACCACAGCCTTTTTCTTCCCTTTGGCTTTGAGCTCAGACAGTGATGCTCGCTGAGGCTCTGCGGGTCCTTCATCTTCATCATCATCATCATCCTCTCTGTGTTGATCCGTCATGACTTGGGACTTATCTCACACTTCTGACTTTTTTTTCACAGAATTGCGAGTTTATATCACGCAATTCTAAGAAAAAAATCTAAATTGTGAGATAAAAAGTCGCAATTACCTTTTTTATTTTGTATTCAGTGGCGGAAACGGGCTTGCATACTATTCTAATTCTATTCTTAAAAAAAAAAAAAAAAAACTCGCCCCTTTTAGACTTGTACTCTATTCATTTGCTGCTTGTTTTCTTTAAAAAAAAAAAATACACTAGCTTCTCTAATCTTTGTTTATTCTATCTATTCGTTTTCTTATTATTATACAGTTTACAAAAGCAAAAAGGCCTCTAACACTAGCTTGCTCTATTCTATCCGTTTTCTTTTTATTTATTATATAATTTTAAAAAACATGTGCTGCATTAAGCTAACTGAGACGTGTTATAGCACTTGCATATCATTGCTCTCTTGTTGATTCTGATTGCTTCCAATGTCACCGTTTGGAAGTCGCTTTGCATAAAAGCGTAGCTAAATGTCTAAATGTACATGCATATCAGAAATCAACATGCAATGCATCGGTCATCGTAATAATCCATACCTGACCCAAACATCTAGAGGATCGTCTCCATCATACAGCCGCAGCTCAGACTCAAACGCTCTAAAAAAGAAAGATGACATTACTGTTCAAGAACAGGAGGCCGTTTCGTAAATCAAGTTTACCAAATAAGCCAGGCTTATTTCAGTTAGTCGGACTTATTTTAACCGGCAGCCATATCACCCTGTAGCCCAAGCCTGGTTGCCCACTGAAGCTAAGCAGGGCTGAGCCTGGTCAGTACCTGGATGGGAGACCTCCTTGGAAAACAAGGTTGCTGCTGGAAGAGGTGTTAGTGAGGCCAGCAGGGGGTGCTCACCCTGTGGGTGTGGGTCCTAACGCCCCAGTATAGTGACGGGGACACTATACTGTCAACAAGCACCATCCTTCGGATGAGACGTTAAACCGAGGTCCTGACTCTCTGTGGTCATTAAAAATCCCAAAGAGTAGAGGTGTGACCTCGGCATCCTGGCCAAATTTGCCCATTGGCCTCTGATCATCATGGCCTCCTAACAATCCCCATATCTGCTAATTGGCTTCATCACTCTGTCTCCTCTCCACCAATAAGCTGGTGTGTGGTGTGCGTTCTGGCGCACTATGGCTGCCGTCGCATCATCCAGGTGGATGCTGCACACTGCTGGTGGATGAGGAGATACCCCCTGACAATGTAAAGCGCTATATAAATGTAATTAATTATTTTTTTGAACCAAATCAAGTGACTAACTACTTATAAGCTGGCTTATTTGGTGAGCTTGTTGTATTAAAGCATCCCTCACTGCTTCTTCTGGTTGAGGGCCGTGTGGTTTCCCTCCTGCTGCTGACACAGAGCCTGGTGCAGGGCCGACACGGAGCGGCCTTGTCTCAAAGGCTGGATGTTTTCTTTACACAGCTCCCATTCAGCATCACACTCTGCCATGATCTAGAAGAACAACAACAGATGCTAACCTATGACCCTGAATGGTTACTTAGTCATAAATAACATGGCAAGGTAAATACAATGTCCTAAACAGCATCAAATCAAGGCTCTTGACGAAATAAAGCAGTAAATAGTGTGAAAAGTCACAATAAGAGCACAGAAAAGTATCTGATCGTGAGATATTGCACTCAGTTCAATTCAAAACAAAGCACATCATGGAAGTCATGTTACAGAAAACAAATATAACTTACGTTCTCCCAACAGGAATCTCCTTAATGTGCTTCTCTTCGTCAAACTGAGTGACTTCACGAAGGGAAAATGCACAAATGTGCGTTTATTTGATCTATTTCTCGCTCTTGCGTGATTGTGTTGCTCTTCGGAGCAAAGAAAGACTTTTGAACAAAAACCGGAAGCGCGCTAAAGAGATTCCGATTGGACGAGGCGCTCACGTGACCACGCGACAGCCAATTAGAGCGTCTCTCAAATAATAACAGGCTATTATTGTTTTTGTTTTGTTTTTAATAAACAAAAGTATTTGTATTTTTAATGTATTATAATAGCGATGTTGTTGTTTTTGACACGTATTTTAAATTTGGACAACAAGCAAGAACGTGGCCGTCGTGTTGCATTCTGGGAAAGTGAGTTTTCCATCTACGCTTCGACTTTAACAATTTTGATTGTTCTCTACAAAATCACTTTTAAGCTAATTTTAGGTGTTTCTCATAATGTCTAAAAGGCCTCTAAACATTTCCGCACGTATAAATCCTCTCAAACTGCTATAGTTGTCGTTGCTGCGAGCAAGGAAACTACATTTCCCTACAACCCCCCAGTTCTCACAGCGCTTCCGGTGTTTACATGCTCCGATTCAAGAGGAATGGGATTGATAGAGTGCATCTGAAACAGCAATATACACTAAATGCATGCTTTTAGATATTATTTTCGTGAGCATTTAAAGTGTCACACTGTGCTTTTGTGTTTCCCTGAAGAACCTCAATATGGATAACCGCTGTTACGGCTGTGCATCAAAGTTCACTCTCTTCAGAAAAGAGGTTAGCGGATATAAATTCATCTCACAGCCTTAATTGAAAGTGTTTGACTCGGTTTTTGTGTGTTTGCAGTTGGGTTGTAGAAACTGTGGCCATGCTTTCTGCTCTGGATGTCTGACATTCAATGCTGTGGTGCCAAAATATGGAGACAGCCAGCAGAAAGTCTGCAAACAGTGTTATGGGAACCTAACAAGGTCTGGAAGCCAAACACAGGTTATATTCAGACTGAACACTGGTTGTATGCTCACTAATGCACAACTGACAGGTCTTTCTGTGCAGCTCAGGCAACCAGACCGATGCTGGCAGATGGTCTCCACCTGAAAACTACAAAAAGTAAGAATCTGTAAGCCTCACATGTGAAATACAGCTGGAGTAACACACATCTGTGGCGTCTTACAGGCGAGTTGCTGCTCTTGAAGCCAAACAAGCTGCGCAGAACCAGCCGTCCAGACCTGCGGGAGCGAGAAGCAGCTCTGTGAGCCTGGTTTCTACCAGAGGACTCAGTAAAGAGGACCAGATCATCGCAGAACGACTCAACAAGCTGAAAGAGGAACCCAAGCCAAGTACGATCTGTCAAAATCTGCTTTCTGAACAGCTTGATTGTTTATATTGTCATATAATCTCAACTTTATTATCATGCAGCTCTAATCTGCCGAATGCAAGTATAATGCATATATACAGGTGCGTCTCAAAAAAATTAGAATATCGTGGAAAAAGTCTAGATTCATTACATGCAAAGTGAAGCATTTCAAACGTTTCTTTGCTTTAATTTTGATGATTAGAGCCCGACGGCTCGTGAAAGTCAAAAATCCAGAATCACAGAATATTAGAATATTTCCTAAGATCAATCAAAAAATAAAAAGGGATTTGCAAAACAGAAAAGTTCTAGTTCTTTAAAGTGTGTTCATTTATTTGGTCGGGGGCTGCTTTAGCACAGACTGCAGCGTCAGTGAGGTTTGGCATTGAAGCGATCAGCTTGTTGGCTCTGATGCGTAGTGCTGGGCGCTATGACCAAACATTTATATCACGGTATTTTTCAAAATTATTCCGGTTTCACTGTTCATTTATTTGGTCGGGGGCTGCTTTAGCACAGACTGCAGCGTCAGTGAGGTTTGGCATTGAAGCGATCAGCTTGTTGGCTCTGATGCGTAGTGCTGGGCGCTATGACCAAACATTTATATCACGGTATTTTTCAAAATTATACCGGTTTCACTGTATTTTTTTTTCATGCATGAGTGGGTGTTAACCATATTTTGTACTGATTGAGAGGAAATACTGCAGTATATTGACTTAGATTGCTTTATTTTTCTGTCATCATGAAAGTGAAAGTGAAGTGTATGGTGACCCATACTCGGAATTAGTGCTCTGCTTTTAACCCATCCAAAGTGCACACACACACACAGCAGTGAACACACACCCGGAGCAGTGGGCAGCCATTTATGCTGCGGCGCCCGGGGAGCAGTTGGGGGTTCAGTGCCTTGCTCAAGGGCACCTCAGTCGTGGTATTGAAGGTGGAAGAGAGCGCTGTACATTCACTCCCCCCCACCTACAATCCCTGCCGGTACGAGACTCGAACCCACAACCTTTTGGGTTACGAGTCCGACTCTCTAACCATTAGGCCACGACTTCCCCAGGGAAGTCGTGACCTGAGTGAATCCATGAGTGAATATTGTCAAAAAATACCACACTAAATAGTGACTAAACACGACCCCTTTTAATACATGTTAACCAGGAGTCTCTCATTTATAATCACAGCATCGTCTGATAAACTCAGCATGCATCTACACTAAAGAGCGGCTATGCGGTGGTTTTGGCTAGATTACTTTTTTGTCTCGTGCAGCGCACTGCCTGCGTCTGAGTAACAAACTAAAAACAACAAACAAAAACATGCATGTGATATTAACAGACGAACTACGCTCATATTTATAATTCCAAACACTCAGTAAGCGACAGGTGCTAGGAAACGCTGTGTTGTACTCATTTATTGAGGAGTCGGCTGCAGTGCTTCTCTGCCGCTCGCTGCACAGAACAGACGCCACAGCTGTGTCCTCACCACAGTGCAGCAGTGAAAAGAGACCCCTCTCAAACAGTGTCGCGTTCCCAACATTGTTTAAGCGACATACACCAGTATTGCGGTATTTTAAAAATTCATATCATAACAAAAATAAACACCGGTATTCGGTATGAACCAGTATACCGCCCAGCACTACTGCTGAGGCACTATTGAGTCTTCAGCTCGTCTGTATTGTTGGATCGACTGTTTCTCATCTTTAAAAAGAAAACTTGTATAAATATATTCAGTTAATAATAACTTAATTAGTATAGCGCCTTTAAAAGTTGCTTTCTCAAAGCAAAAAAATAACAAACACACCAATCTAAAATTCTCTTTCGTCTCTCTGTCCTATCAGAGTCCATACCGTCCGAGAAGGAGCTGGAGTCTCGTCTCGCTGCCTTAAAGTCCCCGCTTCAGCCCGTGCCGTCTGCTAAAGACATGGAGGAGCGTCTGGCTGCCCTACAGGGACGACCGTCGCCCTCTCAAGCCCCACGGCCTGTACTTCAAGATCAGCTTTCACTACTAATGCTCTTGCCATGAGTGACACGACAGCACACTTTCTGTGTATGTTTAATGTGTGCAGGTTCATCAGCCGCCCGACAGCAGGACTCAGACAGAGCAGACCAATGATTTGATCGCCCAGATGACAGAAGAAGTTGCTATTGATAACCAGCATCCATCTTCAGAGGGTACTTTCACCATTTTTAATTGCCTCATTTTTTTTTCCCAGTTATGAATTTTAATATCCTGATTTAGTGTTATGATGAATAATGCATTGCAGTTTCATAGTGCATATTTAAATCGATTTCAGGACACTAGATAAATCATTAAGCATCTTGAGTTTATTAAACAATGAACATTAGACAGTTTTATAAAGCAGTCAGCATCACAACACCATATGTTATGATTATTTTAATGTGGTGGTTGATGCAAAACCATTGTTTCTGGGCTATTTTGCTTATATAACATCTTATTTAACATCATATCCAAAATATGAATTTAAGTAGTTATTTTATTGCAGTTTGTCTATTGCATCAGTAGATTTCAGTTACAATTCATATCTTTAAAGGCTGGGAGTTTTTTCTGCACTTCAGCATTATTTACATACACCAAACTTTTTGTTATTTTATTTTATATCCAGAAGATTTCTATAGAGGGGTTTGTTTATATATCATTCACCTTATATAACATTTTATTCCTACAAACATGGTGAAAATATATTTATTTTGTCTGTTGAATAAAATAAAAATTATTAAAATAAATGATATAAATTTTAATAGAATAAATACAAATTAGACTCATTATATTATTTTGGATTCAATGAAATGAAATGAAAATAGATTAAAAAATAATAATAATTAAAATAATTTAATAAACAAATAAATACTATAGTAAGTGGAAAAATATAATAATGTGACTTAATAGAAACGAAACATTTTCCAAATAATATTTTAGGTATATTTATAATATTAATTTATAATGTTGTTAATAGGCTACAGTTGTGATCACAGTCTGATTATCTTATCTAAATGTTAAAACATATATTCTCAACTAATAATAAAAGTAACAGCTAGGGTTATTATTGTTAACTAAAGTGTTCATTTGAAGTAAAATGAACTTTAAATGAAATAATAAAATAAAAACGTATTTTAGGGATTTGTTCCTATTTTATTTGATCTGTAAAACATGGTGAAAATGTATTTAGTTTGACAGTGTTTTCTGATTTGTGGAGTGATAAACAGAGATAATCGAAATCCCTTCTGTGTAAAAACCTAAATGAAAGAATTTTGGACTTGATACAATGTTTAGATTTCTTTCCTGGAAATGTGTGTGGGTCAAAGACGTTAAGATGTCCGCAAAAGTGATTTTTATGTCCATAGAAAGCACATTAAATGTAAGTAAAGTGTCTAATTTGAAGGTTTCAAATAAGTTTTTGGAGAATAAAATGTCAAAATTTGGTTGAAATAATGTTACGTTGTCATTCAGTGCAACACAATATTTATGCAAAAATTCAAACAACATGCTTATTCTGATGTGTACATATTAAAATATATAAAAGAATAAGGGAGCATATTAAATTTGATTGTGTTTTAAATGAGTAAAAATTCTTACTATTCAAAACCTAGGATAGTGGCAAATTTAAAAAAAATTAAATTACAACTAATTAGTATTTGGGGTGAAAGTAATTAGTATTTTAATGTGTCATAAATTGATTTTTGTTGTAAATATGCCTGACAAGATTGTTACACTGAATGATATTTTAGTGGCTCTCTTCTGTAAATCAGGGAAAAATGTATGATATTTATTTTTTG